TAGCAAAATAGCTTATTATAAATTTATATTTATAAGTATAAATTTTAATGTAATCATATTTTTCTTCTGTGAGTTATCATTTAGTGAGTTCTTTGGTCAGCATCTAAAATATGCATATAATTAGCCATTTACATAAATCAGTTCAAGAACAAAATCACATATTTAGAGCAAAAGTAGCAAATTTTGCATCTTAGTACAAGACAATTGTTGCTAGCTATTTTGCTAAAAAATAGTGCTGCTACAAAAACAATTATTTTATAAAGCATAATTTGTAATTTCATAGATATTTATTATTTATTTATTATTATTGATTAAAATTTAACAATTACGACAAGCTTTAAATGTATTTATCTTGTCAAATCTCATATTCGCTATGAATTGATGGTACTTATGTAATATAATGTATTTATTAAAACCAGTATTCCTATATAAAGGTTCGATCTTTTATCTGTTTTTTTATAACAATTTACAATTATAAAATTAAACCGACGGAAGCTAGATAGCATCTTCTAAACAACATTCATTGAAGTATACCCTTTTTTAATTAATCTATCAATATCTCTTAAAAAAAAAAAGCTATCTAGACATAGGCCTCTATTTAAGAAAAAGAAACAATCAATTAAACGATCTGTAATTCAAAGACCGCAAATAAAGGAAATGGTGGTGGTGTATCATCGAGTACCAGAAGCTGTTCAAAACAAATTCATAAACAATAAAGAAACAATGCTTCAAAAAGGTCAAGCTATTTTTGAAAAAAAACAAACTTTGGAGGCAGCCAAGTTTAAACAGTATGAAATACCTGTCACAGTCAAAATTGATTCTATGGGTAAGAATGGTGTTCAAGATATATGTTACAAGTGCATACCTGAAAAACAGTATGAAATACCTGTTACAGTTAAAATTGGTTCTATGGATAAGAATGGTATTCAAGACATATATTACAAGTATATACTTGAAAAAAGAAAATTTGGTGAAAAATTTGATATATGTTACAAGTGCAAACTTAAAAAAAGAAAAATTAATGAAAGTTAAGATATATCCTGAGGTTCATATAGAATTTTCTAGTTCTTAATATTCTAATTTGAAAAAAATAAATTGATATAAGTATCTTATTTTATATCTAAATGCATTATGTTTATTTTTTCGACTTTAATAACAATAACCAAGAGTTTCTAACCTTTGTGAATTTTTGATAATACATACAAATCTATCTTTTTCTGCTCCAGTTCTATTTCGATAACAGTGATCAATGTTATATATTCCACTAACGCTTTTCACTACAACAGATTTTTACTTATATTAATCCTTTTTAACTGTATGCTCTTCTTTGTCTTGTAAAAAAAATAAAATATAAGACAAAAAAAATAAAGTTACAAGATATACAACCAAGCCGAAAGATTGTTTGATTACAGTATAAAGATCAAGTATTTAGAGTTTACACTTTTCTTCCAGCAAACGAAAAGTATATCATTTTCATGTAATATTACTAAAATCAGCACCAAGCATAGTGTCAAATGACCTGACCCATTATAAAATTTTTTTAGGGGTACTAAATTTTTTCTGCATAGTGGAACAAATTAGCCTATATGTATACAGTTTAAAGTACTTTTTAGGAATATAACATTCACTAACAAAAAATCATTGTAAAACCATTTCTAGTTTTAAAAGAACATCTATATTCACTGTGCAAAAATAGTCAAAATAATCAGTAACCTCAAGAACTTTACTTATAAGCAAATATTTTTACGATTTATTGCTAATACTAGTCATATAAGCCATATGCCAGTTAATGATGCTTGACAAATGACGAAGTCTTCATCATGACGAATGACGAAACCATTTCATCAGGCAACTTCGAAATGACGAATGATGTAACTCATGATGAATGACGAACCTCATGACGAAACATAAATTTTATATGAAAATTTAAAAACAGGATTTATTTTTTAGGAGTCATTGAAAACTAGTTAATGGAAATCAATTAATCCATATGAATTATGTAATTTAATTATTTGTTCATTATTATATCTGCCCGATTTGTTATGTTTTTTGACATATTTATCTGACATTACCTAATGATTTGCATTACTCACCCGGATGTATCCAATGGGTCTGACGAAGAAAGGACTGACGAAACTTTTTGATGAAATAACAGTAATTTGAAAATTTTAAGATTCAAAATATCTAGAGAATGTAATAAAGGGGCTTGTTGGGCTAGTGCAGACCAGAATTATAAGATTCCAAAATGTTCTAAAAACTCCGAATATTCCCATGCACATGATGCAACAGGAGCGACCATCATCATTACACAAATTGCAGATCACTTCTGAGATCCTCCCACCCAATCAAAATTATGAATTTTAAGGATAGTATTAATACGAAATTAAACGAAATTTGAATTAAAATTGTCAAAATTTATATTTTAAACTTTAGAGTAAAATACTTTAAACATTACAAAAATAA